TTCACCCCAAAGCAACAGAATATACATTTTTCTCAAGTGCACCTTGAACATTCTCAAAGATAGACCACATGTTAGGGCACAAAACAAGTCTATACAAATTCAAGAAAATTGATATAATACCAAGCATCTTCTCAGATCACAATGGCATGAAGTTAAAAATCAACTACAATAAAAAAATTCAAAAACACTCAAATACATGGAGGCTAACTAGCATGTTATTAAACAAAGAATGGATTACCAATCAGATCAAGCAAGAAATTAAAAACTTCCTAGAAACAAATGAAAATGAACACATAACCACCCAAAACCTATGGGACACGGCAAAAGCAGTAATGAGAGGGAAGTTTATAGCACTGCAGGTCTACCTCAAGAAACAAGAAAAATGATTAATAAACTATCTAACCTACGACTAAATGAATTAGGAAGAGAACAGAAAGAAAAGCCCAGAGGAAATAGAAGGAAGGAAATAATAAAAATCAGAGTGGAAATACATGACATAGAGACTTTAAAAAGATCAATACATCCAAGAGCTTGTTCTTTGAAAAGATAAGATTGATGAACTCCTAGCCAGACTCATCAAGAAGCAAAGAGAGAGAACCCAAATAAATAAAATCAGAAATTAAAAAGGTGATATAATGAACACTACAGAAATACAAAGTTGTTCAAATACTATGAACAACTATATGCCAACAAACTGGACAACCTGGGTGAAATGGACAAATTCCTAGAAACATGCAATCTTACAAAAGTCAATCAGGAAAAATCAGAAAAACCTGAGTAGGCCAATAACAACTGATGAAATTGAAGCAGTAATTTAAAAACTTCCAGCAAACAAAAATCCTGGACCAATTGAATTTTAGCAAACATTCAAAGAAAAACTAATACTTGTCTTCCTCAAACTATTCCAAAAAGTCTTTAAGAGAAAGGAACACTTCCAAGCCCTTTTTAAGAAGCCAGCATTATGCTAATTCCAAAACCAGTTAAAGACACTATAAAGAAAGAAAATTACAAGCCAATATCACACTAATGAACACAGATGCTAAAATCCTTAACAAAATATTAGCAACTGGGATCCATCAATATATTAAAAAGATGATACAACATGATAGAGTAAGATTTATTCTTGGGATGGTACAATATTTGCAAGTCAATAAATTCAATACATCGTAAACAAATTGAAAGATAAAAACCACATGATCATATCAACAGAAGCAGAAAAAGCATTGGAAAATCATATCTTTTCTAATATCCCTTCTTTGCTTAATGAATTTTAAAATAAACACTCTTTTATACGTGTTCTTTTTCATATGTGCTGAGTTTGGTGATTTGAAAGTTAAATCAAAGTCTAGGGTAGTTGCAGAAAGATAAAATCAATATCAAATTACAGAAATATATGAGAATTTTCAGAGTTGGTTCAAACTACCTATTATGGGCTCTAACATGATAATGTTGCTTTTGAAAAAGTGACTCTTGTTAAGTGCCTTTGGATTAATTTAAGATAAAAAAGCAAATGCTAATAGGTAGGTATATTACATATATACATAAAATCATTCAAAATTCAAAGGCAAGTTAAGTTATACAGTATTATACAGGGGTCCTCAAACTTTTTAAAGTGGGGGCCAGATCACGGTCCCTCAGAGAGCTGGAGGGCCGGACTATATGAACTACTAATTCCTACTGTAACACCTCGGCTGTGCTCACTGCCCAAAAAACCTGGCGGGCCGGATCAGACTCCTCTGCGGGCCGCATGTGGCCCACGGGCCGTAGTTTGAAGACGCCTGTAAGATGAGACTGACATATTTAAGCAGTTGTCCCAGTAACTTATGAGGTAATCACTGAAATTCAGTTTCTGTCATAATGGCTAAAAACAAATATAAAAACCATTCAAGCATGACCACAAATAGTCTTTATTCTCTATGGTTCCAGAGACCAATCACAAGCCCATCTGTGTGAGACCTAGTTAATAAAAACACTATTTGAGAGGGATACAAAGAAAAGGATGGATTGCCGAGAGGAAAAGGTCATTTATTAGAATGTGACAAGCTTTTAAATGTTTGTATTATCATTAACCAACTGCCTGGCTCTGTTTCCCACCCTGCAGCCACCATCCAAAGCTATCACAGGAGCAAAACTGGAAATCAGGCTCATGTCTAAAACACTCACACCCTCTTCTGACTCTTTTGGAGTACTGCATGCATACCAGTTACTAAAGTAGCAAACGCTAATAAAATTATAAATTAATAACAATACAAGTAACATTTTCTACATAATTTTATATTCAAAATTATCTTAATAAACCTAAATTTAAATTAATAAAAATATGAAAGACCAAATCTTCTATATAAAATGTATGCCCATGAAAAGAAAACTGTTCCCTTAATATTTTACAAGTTTATATATTCGCTATTATAAAAATTACAATAACATAACTTTGTGTGCCAGACACTGAGTATGAATAAACTAGTTCATTCCTAACAACAACCATATGAGGTAGGCATCATCTTACAAATGTGTAAAGTGAGATACAATGAAGTTAAAAAACATGCCCAGGATCAAGGCTAAATTCAAATGCAGTAACTGTGATGCTTATTAACTGTGAGACTTATTTATACCCAAAATATTCCTCTGAGTTAAAATGGAGTTGATATGATAATAAAATTAAACATAATTAAAATAGAGAAAAAGTTTAAGTTATAAAGAAAATTACAAATATGTCATCCAAATCCCTAATTTTAAACAAAATCCCAAATGGTACAAAAATATTATATGAAATAGTTTTGGTTATTTTCATATTCCATCTCCCTTAAAAATTCTGATTTTCTGGGTATCTGTGATACAGTTTTTATGCATTCTTTTTACTCCCCATTTCTTTTTTCCATCAAACTATGCCCTTATTTATTTATGATCTGTTTTTTAAAAGAAAAAACTAATCCATACTGTATGCTTTATTTTTCTTCTATAAATTAGAACTACGTATCTATTCCTATCTAAATTACCTATTTCATTGAAATATTTGCATTGTCTGGCTGGTGTGGCTCATACTTGAGCATCAGCCTATGAACCAGAAAGTTATGATTTGATTCCCAGCCAGGGCACATGCACAGGCTGCAGGCTCAATCCCAAGTAGGGGATGGGCAGAAGAAAGCCTATTAATGATTCTCTCTCATCAATGTTTCTCTCTCTCTCTTCCTCTCCTTTCCTCTCTGATATTTGCATTAAGACAGTAAATCCAAATAGCATTATCAATTTCTTCTCATTGCAAACATGATATTCTCATCTGCCTAGAAATATTTAGAGTATTCCTACTTGAAATCAGGGCTGACAGACAATTCTAAGATTTCTAAAAATACTAACAAACAGGATGTGAAGGCACTGTATCAATGATCTATAGTTCAAAACAAGATCTATCTAGGACATCTTTAGATTCAGTTTGCCTAGTTAAAGCTATTTATAATATAAAAAACTAAGAACACTTAATAATACAAGCATGGGATAACCAAGCTCACTGCCATTCATGACCAGAAGATTCACCATGGTAAAGAACAAAACCTTCACTTAAATTTCCTTTTTATAACTATGTTTTCATTTCATAATGCTAACTTAAAGTATTTTTAGAGAAAGTCCAAAGTAGGTATCTATATATATAAAAAGCCAGTGACTGTAATTCTTAACAACCGGTTGCTATGACACCCACTGTAGCCAGCAAACCACCCAGTCAGGTACATATATATCCTTTTTTTCCGCCATTGACCCAAGAGCTCTCTATGTGGTTAGCTGAGGCTAATCCCTGGCCAGAATTGTAGCTTTACTTTTTCCTCTGCTCAAACCTGCTCTTTTCCCATTCTTCCCACCCAACCTCCTGCAGCCCCTCCCCCCTGGCCAGCCTCACCCCTATGGCCACCCACCACTCTGATAGGCCTGCAGCTCCTCCCCCAGCCAGCTCCAGCCCTGATCACCTCCCCCACCCCAAAAGAGAGCAGGGCCAGCTGTCCAACCTCCTGCAGCCCCACGCCGATCAGGGCCCAACCACCCATACCCCCTCCCCAGGCCACTGGCCCCAGACTGGCACCACCCACCCCATTTGAAAGTGGGGCCAGCCAGCCACCACCCACAGCCCTTCCCCATGGCTGTCCTCACCCCCAATCGACCCCCAACCCCAATTGGGGGTGGAGCCCACCAGCCAATTACCCATGGCCCCTCCCCCCAGCCAGCCCAGCCCTGATAGGCCCCAATTGAGGCGGGCAGGCCAGCCAACTTCCCGCTATCTCCTCCTCCCAAAAGGCCCATGCCCAATCCATCCCAATTGAGGCCGGGCTGGCAGGACTCCACCCATGCACAAATTTGTGCCCTAGGCCTCTAGTAAAAACAAATAAATTGTACCAGTTTTAATTTGCTAGATCCAAAAATAAAATGGTTATATCCAATATATTGCAATAATAAAAGCCTAATATGCTAAGTGTCTGGTCAACTGATTGGCCATTCAACCAATCAAAGTGTAATATGCTAATGAAATGCTTTGGCTGCTCAACTGCTCGCTATGACATGCACTAACCACCAGGGAGCAGACACTCTGACCAGTAGGTTAGCTTGCTGCTGAGGTCTGGCTGATCAGAATTGAGAGGGACAGGCCAGACATGCCCCGGAGCCCTCCTGTGGTACCTCCCTGGCTGGCCAACCTCCAACATCTCTCCCCAGCCCAGATCATGCACCAGTGGGGTCCCTCGGCCTGGCCTGTGGGACCAGGCCAAAATTGGCTCTCTGACATCCCCCAAGGGGTCTTGGATTGCAAGAGGGCGCAGGCCAGGCTGAGATACCCCACTGGTCCATGAATTTGTGCACCACGTCTCTAGTTTTAGTATAACTGATCACATTGTTAAAGAATTAATCATAACATCATGCTTATCTCCCAAATCTAAGCTATATAACAAAAAGAGCACAGGTAATACATATAAAAAGGTGCCAAGGAATCAAATCCCTGCAAATACCAAAGCTATTTTTACCTCGGTCTGCAGAATGGCAGCCCTTTGTTCCTTAGCAGTCAAGGATTCCTTCAGCACTTCAATGTGTTGCTTACTGTCCGAGAACTGGTTCGTAAGTGTTTCTAGCTTTGTCTGTAGAGCTAGTAGTTCTGTATCCTTTCTAGAGAGCTCCTGCTTCACCTGACCAATCTATAGAAGAAAACAAAATACTGTAAGAAAAAAAGAAATAAAATACCCACCCCTGATTGGATCTTTGACAAATCTAAGTCACAAGATATGAAACTAAAAGCAGCATTAATCATTAATTTTATGATAGAACATAATTCATCTCTTTGCATCATCCAATCTTAGATATTCACAAAGCTTATTTGACTAATAGGGATATTTCCAGTTTTATTTATTGTGTCTCTTAAACATTTTTTAAAATCCCTTAGAAAAGGAATGGAAAGAGAAAAATTCCAGTTCAATTAGAATACTATCACACACTAGTAAGACTATGAACTACACTTTTTTCATTTCGTGAAGTCAGACCTGTTCTTACATAAAGCAGAATTAGTGTTGATGTAATTCATAAAGGAAAAAAAATAACACTTCCTAGTATTGCTATTTAAATTTAAAATCAAACGTTGACTGTGCTATATTTTTGTCTTCATTAAGATTTTTCATTCTCAAAAGTTTACATAAAATCTTTATCTTAAAATCCACTTTGTATTATAAGACATTATAAATATGTGCTTTTAAATATTTATAATTTTGATGAGTTGGGAGTATTGACCTAAAAAAATATTTCACCTACAAAATTATATCACCTATAATATGCCATTCTAACTAAATGAAGATGACCTAAATAGAAAATGAATAAATCTCATTCCGTAAGAATCTACATGTGTAATTTGACAGAGTAATTAATCCATAAATCAATAGTATTCATTCTCCTATATATTTCTTTCATCTTAACTTAGAAAATATTCATTTGTAACATCACCTTTGCATTTCTGTGTTTCTAAAAAGAATTTTAAATAGTCTTTTATTCTAAATGTAAATCAAAGTAGTAAAAATTAAATCTGCTTTTACATTATGTCTACTGCTTAGGAAGGTAACTGTGCACTAAAAGACAAATTAATTACTAGAAGTAGGAATATGATAAGAGGTCAATAATTTCAGTAACACTGATGAAAGGAAAAGTACTTTTTATTTTTCTAAAGAAAATATATGTAAAGTATTTTATTGTAATAACCTTAGGTATAATGGACAAATCTTTTCAAAACAATTTTCCATGAATAAAAAATAAATTTTACTCTAATTAAAATTAGACTTTTTAAAAGCCCTAAAAATAAATTTCTAATTTATTCTTCTATTTCACAAGAAGACATTTACAGATATAGTTATTCATTCAACAAATATTTGTGTACTTTTTGCATGCAAAATATTTTAGGATACTAAGGACATCAGTGGAAGATAAATAGCTTCTATTTTCACTCCTATTATATATAGGAGTTACCACATCCTGGAATGGTATAGTGTCTTTCATGATATCCCTTTACCAACAAACATCAAAGATTAGTATTATCCTATTACTAACATACAGAATGCACTAAAAACATATTTGCTGTTTGAAGGAATATTTAGGAGAAATGTTCAAAGTGTTATCACTTCCTCAGCTAAAGAACTATAGCTTAAAGATTACTCAAATTTCTAGCTAACTCTAGTCATGTGATCAAAAATAAATATGGAATCTCGGTTTCCTATCATTATGAATTTTCAAATAATGTTATATTGATCATAAAGACTGAGAAAAGAAAAAAAATATTCTAAATGGAAAGCAGAGTTTAGAAGAACAAATTGTGCTTAAAAGTTAGAAGTACAAGGAGTACAAGCCTTGGTTTCCTAAATCAGTAATAAGGAGAAAGTGAACCAATGCCACTATGTTGTTTAAGATTAAATAAAATAATGTATGGAATGTGACTAGCCTGTTGTTTGACACAAAAATAAATTACTCAATAGTAGCTGAGAAAAAAAGAAGTTATAGCTCCTCTAGACAATACATGGTTACCTTTCAGATAAAATGTTTCACTTCTCTCCCTGTCCTATAAAGTGGTCCATAAACAGCAAACACAACAAATTAGCATAAGGTTTTTTTAATGCTGCATTCTAATCTTACCCCACAATTGTTTTCAGAGTGGTTTTTTCTAACACTTGCATAACAAATGTGTGCACAGCCTAGTATAGGGCAGTAGAGTGAAGAGCTTATCAGCACAGGTTCTGGAACCAGATTATTTATGTAAAAATCAAACTCTAACTCTTACTGGCTATGTATCCTCAGCACCACCCTGTTACCTCAATGTCCTCATCTGTAAATTGAGGTTGATAATTTACCTACTTAGTAGGTTATAAAATGTTTATAATAAGTGCTCAAGTGTAGCTATTTTATTATATTTTGAAATGAATTTTAAGTTTTTTAGAAAGAAAATTGAATTTGGCCAAAACCGGTTTGGCTCAGTAGATAGAGCATCGGCCTGTGGACTGAAAGGTCCCAAGTTCGATTCCAGTCAAGGGCTTGTACCTTGGTTGCGGGCACATCCCCAGTAGGGGGTGTGCAAGAGGCAGCTGATCGATGATTCTCTCTCATTGATGTTTCTAACTCTGTCCCTCTCTCTTCCTCTCTGTAAAAAATCAATAAAATGTATTTTTTTTAAAAAGAAAATTGAATTTGATCTAGGGACTTTAATTATCTAATTTACTAGATAAGACTAAATAACTCTAATCACTGTTTATACAACAAATCACTGTTTAAATGTTGCAAAACCAACAAATGGAGACTTTAAGATGATGTCTACATATGAAGATAAAGCACTTTACTCAAGAATTTCAAATTCAAATAAATACTATGTGATGGACCTAGAACAACTGTATATATCTAAGAAGAAAAAGAAACTACCATTTATGTAAACCAACAAGCCTCTAGTAACAGGAAAGGAGTTGAGAATAAACAAGCTTTGAAGTACCATCCATACAGTGTCAACAGGAACAATAAAGAACCAAGTATAGGGCTTCCAGAACACGTGACAGCTCACTGCACACAAGTGACATATGGTTCAAACTGCTGAACAGGAGTTGGTTAAAGAGCAGAGCAGGCTGGTTAGTGCCAGTACTGGGCAAAGCTGCCAACAATAGGACATGAAAGTATAAGCCACCCAGAAGCCAGAGCTAGCAGGGTCCCACTGTGGGATCACTGCACACAAAAGGGTAAATCTTACGGCAAAGACCTCAGCCTGAAGACCAGCTGCTCTCTTTTTCAGCTCCTCCCCTTGAGCCTCTTTCGAACTTAGTTCCTCCTTCAGTTGTTCTACCTGTCACGACATTATTATTCTTTTTTATTTATGTGTCAACTTGGATTTTATCTGCTTTTGAGCCAGAGCAGGAACTGGAAGTAACAGTAACATATAACCCAATCAAATCTGTTTCCCTAGTTCCCTCTTCAAAGGTCCCTGGATGGTTTCTCTATTTTCACAGAGTTTTTAAAATTAACTAAAATGTGCTAATCAGCAAATGAGAACCAAACCTTATATTACTGAGTATTTTTTCTCAAATTAGGATGAAAAATGCAAACTAATAGAAAGTTTGACTATGTGAATTTTTAAGTTTCAAATTAACATGAAATTGGCAGAAGTCATGTCATTAACAACAGAATCTTAAAATAATAATGGAATATTCTACAGATTTATATGCCAGGTATTCGTACCACAGTAAGAAGTCAGAAACAGCCCTAACCGATTTGGCTCAGTGGATGGAGTGCTGGCTTGCAGACTGAGGGGTCCCGGGTTTGATTCCAGTTAAAGGCAAATGCCTTGGTTAAGGGCACATCCCCAGTGGGGGCTGTGCAGGAGGCAGCTGATTAATGGGTTTCTCTCTCATCGATGTTTCTTACTCTCTATTCTTTTCCCTTCCTCTCTGTGAAAATCAATAAAATATACTTTTAAAAAAAAAGAAAGAAAAAAAGAAAGAAACAGGAGGGAGGATATTAATTGTGTCATTCCCTTACAAATAGCACTTCTGAGAAATCAGGGAATAATATAATTAGGATATGGCAGGAGGAAGGGGGATACTTATTTTCTAGGTGATCTATATATAAAAAAGGCTAAGTGACCAACTATACATCCATCCAACCATCGAACTAACTGGCCGGTACATATGACGCACAACATTGACTCCCACATATGATACATACAAGGCTCTCACTTGCATCAACTGCACGCCACCAACTGGCCAGTACATATGACAGGCACTGGCAATCCTATATAATAAAAGGCTAACATAGACTGAATGGCAGATCGACCGGTCACTATGATGTGCATTGACCACCAGGGGGCAGACATTCAATGCAGGAGCTGCATTGAACTCCATGAGGGAGCGCCGCTCAGCCAGAAGCTGGGCTCACAGCTGGTGAGGGCAACAGCAGTGGCGGGAGCCTCTCCTGCCTCTGCGGCACGATAAGCCATCAGTCGGACATCCCCCAAGGACTCCCAGAGTGCAAGAGGACGCAGACTGGACTGAGAGACAGACACCTCCCACCCACAAGTGCATGAATCCATGTACCAGGCCACTAGTATTTTATAATTACAAGTATGATCTTTAATTAAACCACAACAAAACTGTAAATCGGCAATTAAAATAAACTAAACACTCCAATGTGCCTAAGTAGTTCATAGAATCTAAATGGCTTTAGATCTAAGGAAGGAATATTGTGATTGAATTTATAAGTATAGACAGACGTGTGATACTTATCTTACTTCATATATAACTGAAACACACATGGGAAACAATAAAGCTGATACAAATGGATTTTCTCCAAAGGATAGAACAAATGATTTTTCTTTATGGAACTATATTTGAAGAAAAAAACATGATTTTATTTCAGCTATATCTGGATGGGGGGTTGGTATTTACTGGGTTCAGCTTCTTAGGATTTTAACTTTTAAAATACTTCACAAAAGGTAGAATACTAAATGCCTCATATAGTGAGAAAACCTCATCTGGATGTAATCCTACTAAATCATCTCAGCAATATTGATAGACATGAAATGTTAAACTATAATAATACATACTTTGCTTCATACAGGTCATTTTGTTTTAAGTGAAAACTTGAAAGAACTATAGAACATTTGTAATTCTGACTTTAATTCAAGCAATTACTACTTGAAAGAATTATCTTAGAGGTATTCTTCCCTTAAGTCTGATAAAACAGTGTGAAGTGCTTCATCATCAGTAAGGACGTAGGAACAAGCATCAATTTTTCAAACCCCTTTTTAAAATTACACTATCACATACCATTACCTTATTTTTCATGAATTTAGAATGACTCCGATAGACCTCCATTTGCTTCATTTCTTCCTCCCGTTCTTCAGTACTCAGAGCCCCATTTGATTTCAGCATCTGAATTTCCTCTTCCAAGTCTCGGAGCCCACGCTCCATAGAGGAAATTTTTGAATCCTGAGGACAATTAAAGTAGTCATGAAAAATCAGAGAAGTTAAACAACCCAGTGTTAGAGGTGCTACATTTATTAAAAATAATTATGCAAGGAAATTGCTATCTAGCAACTGGTACCTTACTTCTAAAATATACCCTTTATGGTAATTTAAATGGAAGGAGGAAGACTCATCTGTAATGTGATTTTTCTTTTATCTCTTCCTCTCATCTATACCCTTCAATTAAAGAGAATTAACTAAAGAAATAAAAGCAATGGAAAACTGGTTAAAGTTTTTTGTACTTTATGGTCAATAGATATGTAGTGAAAACTTCTGTAATATTAACAGTAAAACCTTTTACAGATATAATACCTTATCCTATTACTTTGACTCCTAAAGGGTTTATTTCTGCTCACAGAGAAGGGGGAGATGTGTAAGAGGATTCCAAAGATTTATACAATGATGTGTGTAACTATACTTATAATAATTAAGATTTTATAACCTACAGCAGCAGAAAAGCAAAGAAATAAAAAATTACATTAACAGTTACAGTTTATCATACTCATAATCTTTTCCTTACTAGGTGTGCCGGTTGATAATGGCGGATTTTGTAATAAAAGAATACATGATAATTTCAAGAGAAACATCAAAAGTGCTTTATTCAAAGTAATGTCCATCGCTAGCTCCACATTTCCACCATCTTTCAGGTAATTTGTGGATACCGTCCATTAGAGCTTTTCTTGTTTTGAGGCAAACCATTCAGAGACCCAATTTTCCACTTCTTCGTGTTTTAAAGTGCTGCTCAGAAAGTGCGAGTACCATCGATCAGAACAAGTGGCAATCTAAAGGCACAAGGTCTGGTGAATATAGCAGGTGGGTTAATACTTCGCAGGCAAGATCTTTTAACATGTCTTTAACTGGTTTTGAAGTGTGTGATGGTGCATCATCATGAAACAAAATTACTTTGCCATGTCTTCTGGAACATTCTGGTCATTTCACAAAGTATGGTTCAAACAGATTGTTGTCGGTAGGATCATATATTAACGGTTCTAGAAGCTCACAATACACCACACCTTCCTAATGCCACCAAATACACATCATTGTCTTCTTTCTGAAGCAATTTGGCCTTGCAGTCAATGTTGATGGTTGGGTTGTAGTCGATGTTGATGATTGACCTGTATCAATCCATGATTTTGTGCATTTGGGATTCTCAAAATAAATCCACTTTTCATCGCCAGTCACAATTCGATACAAAAAAGACTTTCATCCTATTGAAGCAATATTTTACTGATGACTTTTTGGTTTTCCATTTGTCTTTCGTTCAGTTGATGTGGCACCCATTTCCTTCCTTTAAAATCTTTTCCATTGATTGTAAATGAATGGAAATTGCTGAGCAACGTTAAATTTTTCTGCAAGTTGCTTTTGAGTTTGACATGCATCTTCACCCAATAATGCTTGCAATTGTTGTTGTTCAAACTTTTTCAGTTGACCTGGATGTCTTTGTCTTTCACATCAAAATCATCACTTTTAAAGAATTTAAACCAGTGTTCACAAGTATCTTGAGATGGAGCATGTTCACCATAAGCTTCCCGAAGTATTCAGCAATATTTTTCTTACTTAGTCAAGTATTTAATTAATTCATCCCTAATGCCTTGGGAGGGCCAGACCAAATGATTTCACAGACTTTATGTAATCTGTGGGTTGGACATTCCCCACCCCTGACCTAAGAAATAAAGATCTTAAAATATTGTAGGTTTATTTTATTTGGGATTTTAGAAAAACCATTCCTTTAGTTTAGAAGGTAATTTTGAGAATGATTTCCTGTTACACTTTAGCTCAAGGATTGCTAGACTGACTCTCCTTGTTATCATGTAGACAAAAGTTAAAGGATTTATCATGAGACAACTACAACTATCTATTTTTAGGTTCAGGGGAATGGAAGAACATGTATTCTTCTGTCTTACATTACATAACCTTTAAAATTATCACTACAGAAATTTCCTTTTACAAATCTATTCAAATTAAACTTACATTTGATTCTAAAGGAAATTTATTAATCAGTACAATTAGAGATATTCTAAACCTAAGCCAGGATTTTAATTATTTAAAATTATTGAGCCTTAGGCAACTACTTCAATTGTACTATCTGAAAATTCCCTTTTGAAATGACTATAAATCTTCCTGGAAATATTAGGATGCAGTCCTTCAAGAATGACTAAAATACTAGGCATATGCATGTGATTAATCCGCAAATCAAAGATAATGAAACATGGTTCACCTCAGACATTAGCCTGGGTGGTAATGAAAGAGGGCCAGAGGAAGAAGGGCATGTTTTTCTAGCATCATTGATACTCCACACAAGGTAAAATAGCCTTCAGCTAAGAACTCCAGCATGTCACACAGACAGATTCTACCTCTAAAAAGCCCCTACAGGAGTTTGCCAAGGAACATTACCCATCTTCTCCCTTAATCCCAACACAGATAGGCAAATCAGCACCCCAATACCAAATTGTGTATCATAAAAGCATCTCCCTAGAAAGGAACCACAATTGCAGCTCTGGAAGCCATGAGACAGGCACAGACTGCATAGAAAATGAACCTGCCAGGTTACTCTTTGAAATCAGGACAGAAAATGATGCATGATATGTTCAACTAATTCCAGCACCAACTCAACCAGTACTCAGGCTGGGTTTATTTGGGAATAGTTCTCCCAGAGGTTTCTTACTCCTAGAAACTATCCTATCTGATAAAAGAGAGAAACATGCAAATTGACCGTACCTCTGCTATGCCCACCAGCCAATCAGAGTGACTATGCAAATTAACCCAACAAAGATGGTGGCAGCGACAAAGCTGGAACAAGCAGGAGACTTGGGTTGCCCCAGTGATGGAAGAAGCCAAGCTTCCCACCCACTCTGGCTGGTCCTGGCCTCCGCTCAAGATCACAAAGTTTCAATTATAGAAGATAAATAAATCCCAGATACCTGCTTCCAGCCAGCCCTGGCCCCTGCTCATGGAGGCAATGAAAAAATAAAAAATAAATTGTCCAATTTAAACTGCTTACCTTATATATATAACTCCCAATTAATCACAAATTATCTAATTTCAAAGGTTAAAAGCTTCAGGAAAAATATTAATTTAACTTCAAATAATTTTTAAAAAAAGGAGGGGCTGGGAGCTTGGGTCACTGGGGGCATGGCCAGCCTACAAACAGCCATCATCCCCTCACCCAGACTGGCCAGGCACCCCAATGGGGATTCCCACACTGAAGGGGCTATGGCCAGCCTGCAAACAACCATCAGCTCCTCACCCAGGCTGGCCAGGCACTCCAGCAGGACCCTCCACTCTGCAGGGGGTGTGGCAGCCTGAAAATAGCCCTCAGCCCCTCACCCAGGCATCCCTGCAGGGACCCCCACAGTCCTCAGCCCCTCACCCATGCTGGCCATGGCCCCAGTAGTGGCCCTCACACCATGGGGATGTGGCCGGCCTGCAAACCATCACAGTCCCCTCGCCCAGGCCACCCCACACCCCAAGGGAACTCCCACCCTTATCCGGGACTTGCTTCAGGGCAAACCAGCTGGCCCCACCTGTGCACTAGGCCTCTATCTATACTAATAAAAGGGTAATGTGTTTATTAGACTAGGAGACCTTCCAGGAGACCCTTTGGACCTTCTTTTGGACTAAGCTATGGTGGTGGGGCTGAGGTAGAGGAGGTTAGAAGACAAGAGGGGAGGGCAGTTATGGGTTATCGGGCCAGGATGGGACAGCAGTTGTGGGTGATCAGGCTGGTGGGTCGGGGCCATTGGGTCTAGGCAGATCAGCAGGGGGACTAGTTGGGGGTGAGCAGGCCATCAGAGGGGGTCAGTTGGAGGTAATCAGGACAGCAGAGGGGGGCAGTTTTCAGTGAGCAGGCCAACAGGGGGGTCAGTTGGGAGTGAGCAGGCTATCAGGGGAGGAAGTTGGGGACAAGCACACTGGCACGGGGGGTGGGGGGGCAGTGGGGGTGATCAAGCTGGCAGGGGGGTATTTGGGGGCAAGCAGGCCAACAGTAGGAAGCAGCTGGAGTTGAGCAGGTCAGTAGGCAGAATGATTAGGGGCAATCAGGCAGGCAGGCAGGCAGGTGAGCGGTTAGGAGCCAGCAGTTTTGGATTGCGAGAGGGATGTCCGACTCCTGGTTTAGGCCCAATCCCTGTAAACCGGCACTAGGACATCCTTCAAGGGGTCCCAGATTGGAGAGAGTGAAGGCTGGGATAGGGACAATCCCCCTCCCCCCCGCCCATGCACGAATTTCATGCACTGGGCCTCTAGTTTATTAATAAAGAAATTGAGGTGTAGCTTGCTCTGTGTCACACAATCAAGTAAAACCCGATTTTGAACCCAGGGAATTTATCTCTGAAGGCAAGCTCTTCATCACCAACTGCCATACCATACAGCCTAAAGATTTCAACTTACTCATCAACTTAAAGCAGAAGTTTTCATAGAATGGCTACGAAACTTTGAGGATGTTCCCTAGACCCTTTCATTAAATCTATTGTACAAAGTCAAAACTTTTTCTTAATAAACTATCACTTTATTTGCCTTTTCTATTGTGTTAACATTTTTAATCAAGATATAAAAGCAATGGTGGGCAAAATCGCATGTGCCTTATGACAAAGGGCAATAGCACCAAACCACAGTTAGTCATTGTATTCTTCAGTATCAAGATTCACAGAAAAGAAAAAAAAAAGAAAAAAGAAAAAAAAAACATTTTTAAAGCCTGCTTAACTTAATGCCTTGTTACTTTATTACTTTTAATAAATCTCAAGCTTTGAGCACACATCATTTTTTAAAAAATATATTTTATTGATTTTGTACAGAGAGGAAGGGAGAGAGATACAGAGTTAGAAACATCGATGAGAGAGAATCATCGATCAGCTGCCTCTTGCACACCCCCTACTGGGGATATGCCCGCAACTAAGGTACATGCCCTTGACTGGAATCGAACCCGGGATCCTTCAGTCCCCAAGCCGACACTCTACCCATTGAGCCAAACCGGCTTCGGCTGAGCACACATCATTTTAATATTCTGTGTGATAAAATGGGAAGGAACTAGGCAGGCACTTCTGCTGAAGGAAGTATGGTGACTGTCCCCAAGAACAGTACTGTGTGCTTCTTTTAATTGCAAGCTGAATTAGCAACTTTTTTCATAGAAAACTATATTTATTAGAAAGAACAAAAGATAAACTATGGTTATTTAGACTTGATATTTAGCAGACATTTTTTATAAATGAGGAAAATAAACCTGTTGTTCTAAGAGTATAAAGGGGTCCTAAAATCAAAGGTTTGAGAATAACTGAAAGAAAATCTGGACAATCCTTTCCATCTAATTTGAGTTATGTGCTACTACTAAAAGGAACTGAGACTAAAGTTCTTTTAAAGTGTCATTTTCATTAAGTCTCATTTTTCTTTTCAATTTACAAAATGAGTAAAATATTGTTACATTAGAGGCCCGGTGCACAAAAATTCATGCACTTCTGGGGGGTGGTCCTCAGCCCAGCCTGTGCCCTCTTGCAGCCCGGGAGCCCTCAGGAGATGTCCACCTGCCAGCTTAGGCCTGTTACCCAGGCGATCGAACATCCTTAGCCCTGCCATCGCCACCGCCACCACTGCTGCACTCCCAGCAGTTAGCCTGGTTTGTGACTGAGCAGAGTTCCTGCTGTGGGAGCGCACTGACCACCTGGGGGCAGCTCCTGTGTTGAGTGTCTGCCCCCTGGTGGTCAGTGCACATCACAGCGACTGATCATTCCCTGTCATTCCATCCTTAAGGTCAATTTGCATATAACCCTTTTATTATATAGGACTAGAGGCCCAGTGCATGAAATTCGTGCATGGGGAGCAGGGGGGGAGGGTAGAGGGGTGCTGTCCTTCAGCCCAGCCTGCACCCTCTCCAATCTGGGACCCCTCAAGGGATGTTCGACTGCCCTTGCATAATCCATGGCTGCTGGCTCCCAAGTGCTCGCCTGCCTGCCTTCCTGATTGCCCCTAACCACTTCTGCCTGCCAGCCTGATCACCCCCTAACCACTCCCCTCCCAGCCTGATCAATGCCTAACTGCTCCCCTGCAGCCCAACTGCCGCTACCTGCCCTCTCCATGCTGGCCCAGTCACCCCTAACTGCCCTCCCTTGCCAGCCTGGTCACCACTAACTGCCCTCCCCTGCAGGCATGGATCACCCCCCACCCCCGCAACTGCCCTTCCCTGCAGGCCTGGGTCCCCCTCAACTGTCTTTCTCTGCAGACCCAGTCCCTCTTAACTGCCCTCCCCTGCAGACCTGGTTGCCCCCAACTGTCCTTGCCTGCAGGCCTGATCGCCCACAACTGCCCTCCCCTGCTGGCCATCTTGTGTCCACATCAGGGCGGCCATCTTGTGTGTTGGAGTGATGGTCAACTTGCATATTACCTCTTTATTATATAGGCTATTGCTTTCTAAAACTCACACATAAAGTGTGTGATCACTTATATGTGTAAAATAACTTATAAAATTATTAGATTCTTACTTACCTTCATTTCAATAACAGTTTGCAGAGCTTTTGTCTTGGCAGAATCAGGGGCATTCTCAAATCTCCGATGCATCTCCTATACAAGAGAAACAAAAAAAGAGTAAGTGCCTCTTTTTCACTCTCTTTTTTAAAAAGGAGTAGGGGAGAAGGAGTAACTTTGTGCAAAAGGTGGTCCTCCCAGCCTTGTAAGATACCTTGATACTTCTCTATTTCCTCACCTTTCTCTGTGAAACAGGTAACCCACACACTGTATCTAGGCTTTAAAAAAGCATAGGAGGGTTCCAATCTCTGAACACCTGGTTATTTAGTCACACAGACCCCCTACTACAACCGATGAAACTACAACAAATCCCTAGGCTGATGTGTCAAACTTCCACATGAATCAAAGACATAATCAGAACTCCAAATGATTCAAAAAGCGGATTAGAAATATTCCCTTTTTAAAAGGAGAAATAAAGGCAGTCACAATTAGTCTACATTATACAAGCACTAGTGTTGACAACATGCTTTCCATAGCAACCACCCCCAGAGTAGCAACCACCTGGCTACCAATAACGAAAGTCTCTCTCCAGTGGGGGTACAAATGGAAAGAAAAAGATGACTGCTGAACAACAAAAAAAAAGACTGCTGAACAAGTTTCATAAGTAGTTCATATTTAGAAAATGTCAGAAAAACATGGCAACTTTTTAATCCAAATTTTAATGAGTTCAGGTTCTAGAAGAAAGGAGGTGATGGTAGTAATATCACAATTTAGCGTCTCCAAGGATCACCCTGAAGTTTCCAGAACACTTCAGAATGCTTTCTTGTCATATTTTGTGAATGTCTCTGAGTTTGGCAGTACTTCCAAAGTATTCTGGGACAGACTCTAGTAACCCCAAAAAATATCCAGATACTTTCAAACTGAGAGTGTTTAACCATAATAAAAAGAAATGTATACTATAATTATACCTTTCACCTAATTTATTCATTCTTGCCTGACCAGGAAGAATGGTTTGAGAGAAATAGAAAATAGAAATGCAAACTTCATTGAGCTATCTATTCCTAAAAGAGTAGTCCTAATTAAATGACAAAAATTCTAAATTATAAACAGCAGTTTAAACACCAGTAATTTCTGAACATCCACACTCCCCATTTGGCTGCTGCTAATGGCAAAACCACTATTAACACACACTAACCTTTCTGCTACATCTCTCCCTAACTCCAGGAGTCTTAAATATTCAACTAAGAATCCCACTTGTATGTTTAACAACTATCTCAAACTCTACATATCCAAGATTAAACTCTTGGTGGTGCCCCCAAAACCTGCTCCATCCTACCAATTACTCAGGTCAAAAACCAATGAATCTTCTTAACCTGTTAACCAGGGAGTTCCCTTTTTAATTACTCAAAGTACAACGGGCGCATACTCTTTCACTAGGACGTGTCAGTACGTCACGCCCAGTGGACGTAATTCTTTTAATTTATGCTTAATTAAAATAAATGAAATATATATATTTTCGTTTGTTTATATATAAAGCACAAAGGAAAATACAAAATTACAAACAAATAGAAAAGAATACCAACAAAAAAATGAAACATTGAATTAAAAAATTATAAATTTTACAATTATAAAGATTACAAAAAATATATTTTTTTATTTCTATACACAATAAAAATATTAAAAAGTTAACAATTACAGAATTAAACAAAAGCACACAAATAAAATAGAAATATTGAGTTTAAAAATTGAAATATAGATGTAAAAATTCAAAACTCAACTTCCGTGTGATATATTTTAAAACAATTGTTCATACATAGTGCTACCTTACAATCTGGACACCAGTATGTAGACTCTTTCCTAACACCTTTCTTGTAGCAAACTCGGCATTTCCTAGATTTAGTTTTTCCTATATCGCTTTTCATTTGTTCTGGAAAATGCCTTTCAACTAAGCATGATGGTTTAGATGTAGAACTGCTTATTGATGTCTTTGGGTGGGTTTTCACTATGTTGTTATCTACCAATTTCTCTACACACTCTATCAAAAAGTGTAATCGATCCAAATGGTCTTTATCTATTTTGTATATAATATATGCATTGAAGCAGCACATATCAATTAATCATAGAAAAAAAATTTTATAAAATTTTTTTACCCTATTACGAGCAGCCGTGTAGGCCACCATAACTCCATCTCCCAAATCTACGCCGCCCATATTCTTGTTATAATCCAGGACAACATTCAGTTTTTCTTGCCTTCTTCCTCTCTTTTCAATTATTGTCTTTTCGTCATTATGAATAGAACTGAGCATCAATACGTCTTTTTTATCCTTCCATTTTAAAACCATAAGTTTGTCTTTGATTCTTACTATATGTTCATTTTTCTGTAATTTTTTGTTTTTAATTCACTGGAGATTCCAACTCTGTTTATCCTCATTGTTCCAACAATGTCAGTATTGTTTTGACACAAGAGTTCAGCCAAATGAAATGACGTATAGGAATCATCTAAGTAAATCCTATACCCTTTATTCAGTAAGTCATGTGTTAACTCCAAAACAATTCTTGTTGATTGTTTTTCTTGTGGGTAGTGTGAACCATAATTTGTGTCCTTGCCTGTGTATAAAATTATATTTTGTACGTATCCAGATTGGCTTTCACTCAAAATAAACAACTTCATTCCAAATCTAGCTCTTTTTGTAGATATATATTGTTTTTAAGATAAATTCCCTTTCCATAATAAAAGAGATTCATCTACGCATATTTCTCATTCACATACATAAAAACTTTTAAACTTTTCTAACAAATTATTGATGATTGAATCAATTTTATATGTTTTTCTATTATATAAAGGTGGAGATATAAAAAATATAAGTAAATAATATATAATACGAAAATAGGTAGATAAGTGTAAATACGTACCTGTCTCTGCTCACCCAGAACACGTCCACCACTCTCAATAGCGAAATTATACCTATTCCCTTAAATTCATGTCGAGACATGTATGGATGACTAATATCTTTGTTGTTGGGAAATATACATCCCGCCCGTTTCAGGGCACAACATATATTTCAAGGACGTATTCATATGTCCTACCCGTATCTGATATTGTTTACATTTGACGTATTTATACGTCCCGCTCGGTTAACAGGTTAATGCCTTCTTTTTTCTTTCAAGCCACAGCCAATCAGAAAATCCAGTTAACTCTATCTTCAAAACATATCCAAAATCCAAGCACTTCTTGACATCTCCACTGCTACTACTTGGAGTGAGCCACTAACAAAAATATACCTTTTAATCCCATAACAATCAGGCTCCCCTCTCTTTATCTCGCTTCCCTACAGTCACTCTCTACAGAGCAGTCAGAGCACCCCTTTTAAACATAAAGTTGATCTTGTTATTCCTTTGCTCAAAACACTGTCATGCCTCCCCATCTGACTCCAGACATACCAGCCTCCTTGCTTTTCCTCACTACATCAGCCCTGCTCCTTACTTAAGGCTTTTGCATTCATATAGATTTTTTTTTTTTTTCAGTGTGTGGGCTGATGCTCTAACCATTTAGAGTGGTTAGGGCTCTGTCCTCATCTTCCCAGAACTCTCAGAGGCATTCAAAGCAGGGGCCCATTCCCTCCAATATACAATATATATTTCCTCTTAATTATTATGACACCACAGTCTTCTTTTTCTATCATTTCAGTTGTTCTTTATTTCTTTATGTTCATTTTGTATGCTTTTGCTTCTAAATTAGACCCCCAAGGACTACAGTAGCTGGGGGATCAATCCTAAACCCTTTTCTTGTTTTTATCTAAACTTTCTAATCTACATTGCTTAAAATTAAATTGAAATACGTACTCATGAATTTCTAGGCCTGCATTCTGCTCTGATTTCAAGACTCACATTTCCAACTGCTCATCTGCTATTTCTTTTTAGATATCTAACAGGGAACTCAAACTTATTTTATTAAGTAAAATTTTAAAAACCTCTTGATATTCTCTTTAAAGAGATGTCTTCCCCATCTGGTTATATATGGCACTGCCCTACTAGTAGCACAAGCCAAACACCAACCATTTCTCCTTTCATTCCTCCCAGATCTTCATTTCCCACCAGCAATTCAACAGCACGCCCTGTTCTATGTTCAAAATATTTTCTAAATTTAACTGTTTCACTCCATTTCCAGCCTAGTTTAAGCGTAGATAACTATAATGGTTTCTACTAGTTTTCTTCCATTTCCTCTGTCCATTTTCAAGAGAGCACTGAGGTAATCTTGATAAAGCATCAACAAATCATGACACAAGTCTGCTTTAAATGCTTCAATGAGTTTCCTATTTATTTCTCGCTCCCTTCAAAAGCAGCACGGTATGACCATAATAGATAGAACACTGGTCCTCCTGTCAAACTATTTTAAAATTAGACAAGATGATTAAAATAATTGTTTTCAGAAATTGAAAAACAAGTATCATAGAACTTTAATCCTTAAGGGAAAAGAAACAAACAAGGTGATGGCCCAGACTTGCTATCCAGTATGTGATGCAAGGAGGGGAAACCCAAACAGAAAACAGCAGACTTGCAGAGCTCAAAAGATAAATCAATGTGTAAGACTCCTAAAAATAGTGGAAATGTGCAGAGCAGAATAGCATAGAGAAGGAAGCTAGCCAGAAGGCAGCAGTATCTGACAGAGGTCCCCTTGAGTCTTTGGCCAAAAAGTGTGCATGTACAGGGCAAGACTCCACAATGTCAGACAAAGAACAACTACTTACTGAGGACAAAACAACTACCATAGAGCTATGACTTAAGCAACTAACTGAACTCACATGGGGCTGGGAAAAATTTAAGTTCCAAAGTGAAGAGAACATCAGAAGCACTTAGTAGAGATACTGGAAAGGCCACGTCTTAGGGGTACAGCTCATCTAGCTCTAGAGCAATGGTTCTCAACCTTTCTAATGCCGTGACCCTTTAATATAGTTCCTCATGTTGTGATGACCCCCAACCATAAAATTATTTTTGTTGCTACTTCATAACTGTAATTTTGCTACTGTTATGAATCATAATGTAAATATCTGTGTTTTCTGATGGTCTTAGGCGACCCTGCTAGTGGTTCTCAACAA